TAAGTTTAAGTCTATAAATCCTACAAACTCCTAGTTCGCTTAAACTAATGCTCTGATACCAACTGTTACATCCCCAATTTCACGGTCAGAAAAGACTGATGTGTTTATGCTTTAATTGAAAATCAAAGTATACTTTTGAAGAAATAATTGCGGAATTTGTTCCAAAAAATATGATAAAGAATTTATCAAAGCATTTATGAAGAAATGTATTTTCATTATATTAAAAACCTTGGGATGTCATTGTCAATACATATCAAAAGCATAAACAAAAACAACATAGGCCTTACACCATTCTATTTATTTCTAATGGGATATAATCCATAATCTCTCATCAGATCATCACATCTATGCTCTTGTGCCACTCATTGTAATACAAGAAACTGAGTGGGTCAGGCTTAGGAGCCTGGTGAGCACATAGGATTTTCAACCCACAATAATTAAGTTTATTAATTTCTTAAATCTATCAACCCGATTATCCGTTACCATTGTCCTCACTTTCTATCCCTAAAGCATCTAATTTAGGGGACCTAGCCTAAGAATTTTCATTGGGATGACAACATTGTGTAGAGGATTCCTCCATAATATATGTCAAAAAGGCAACCATGAGGGGAATGGAGTACACCTAGTTAACACTTAGTTCAAAACATCTACAGGTTACGAACCTGCTAGTGTTCCACTAGACTGTTTAGAATAGTCCGTGGTCTTCATCTATACTCCGCTAGATGACTGGATCATCTTGAACATCGAGGCCTCTCATCATTTTTATTTCCTCTTTCATCATGTATTTCATCTACCCATCTTTACCCATCATAATTATAGGTATAAAATACATATATAATTTAAATCAAGTAAAACATGTATATTTTGCTCACCCATCATAAATATCATGTACACAGATAGTATGCGCACACGGCACATAATTTATATTAAATACTTCATATCTATGTGTAAGGTGAAAGTAACTGTGCACTCACTAGTTAACGTGATGACTTCAAACTCGGGCAGTGCTTCGCTTTTAACAATTATATTTTCCTTTCGATGAAACCTAATATCATTATCACTAGATTTTAGTTTAACGATTATTGTGACGAATTATTAACCAAAGGTCTACGAGCTATATTTTTTTATAAGTGTTAAACAATTTTTTCAACCACTATGTACAGATAGGGGCCATACATGAAACACTGGAGGGCAGGACCATTTTGACATTTAAGCTGTTCTGAAATCCAACAACCCTATGCGGCCCTTCAAACCAAATTCCCCATACCGCGAGCAGTTAAAAGGTATTATAATAACACTTTGTATAATTTATAATACTTAGCACATATATTTATAATAGGTTCATAATAACGATAACGAATTTAAACATAAGTTTTACTTAAAGTAGGGTAAGCATAACTCACTTACAGGGGGGGTTAGCGGGAAATCAGACTCTACACTGGCAAAACTTCGTCGCTGAATCTTTTTTCGAAAAAGATTCTTGTACCTCTTCCACCCTCACATTACTATACTAAAACAACAGAAAGAGAATTCGAATCATGAGGGACCAAAATGCCCAAGGATAAGAAGAGAAAGAATCTTGAATTAAGAGAATGGTGCAAGAAATATGAGAGCCTAGAGCCTCTTATTTATAGTAATTCAATTTTCAAAAAGCATCCTCTATAGTTACTTAAATGACTAAACACCCCTTTATAATACAATTTTAAATATATTTAACGATATTTGTACTAAACTAATGTCGAAAGTAGTCAACACTAGTTTTATAATGACCGCATCGTCGATACCTTTTTCTCTCTCTCTCTCTCTATATATATATATATGTATGTATATACACACATTTATATATGATTTGTACTTTATTTTAATACGTAAATATGATGTGATAAATTATAACTCCTTCATATGAACATTGTTTTTGACGTTCTTTATATCCACGCATAGCTATCGACATGATCTACATCTTTCGTTTAGACTCCATCGGCTAATTTTAACTTTTATATATCGTCCATATTTTTTAGAAAATTAAATGATTTTGCTTAAAGTATAACTCTCTCGTACGAACGACGCTTTTGACATTCTTTTTCTCAAAATTCCAATTTTAAAGAGTACTACGATTTTATTTTTGGTGACTTTAGCTAAAAGTCAACCATTCTCTCCGTAGCTTTTTACGTCACACATTCCTTCTGTGCGATTGACTTTTATATCTTATAAAAATCATATCTAATTCATACAGATTCAGATTTCGACGAAATTATATTTCGGGATCGGGATGATGTGTAATTTCTAAATATTATATATATATATATATGTATATATATATATGTGTGTGTGTGTGTGTGTGTGTTTTGGCGCACTTATCTTTCTGATTTACGGACGATTCGACTGATTTTTCCTATTTTATTATATTATAATAATCATGAAACACATAATATTCACATAATTCTTCTTTATTATGTTAAATAGGTTACAATTTTTGACCCTAACTACTAAATCATCATAATAATGTTTATCCTAGAAACACGGGCGTTACAGTCACGGTCTTCACTTTCTCTCACCACAAACACAATTCTCAAAGTCTCAAAGCAAAACCACTCACACATATACTATTCATCATCTTCAAAACCTGCAACAATGGTTGCTTCATCTGAAAACATGTCCTTTGCTGACCAATCCGCTTCAGTGATCATGTTTGCTGTGAAGCCTAACCAAAACATGATCATCGATTTGGATGCTTCTTGTTACAATGCACTGATTTTCCCTATGATTGAATGTTTAAAGTTTTTTCATCTCATGAAATCCTTAACAATGTCAGAAGAAGTTCCATTGGTGCATATGTCAAGAGCGTTCTCCTCATCTACAACATACAAGAGGAAGTCATTAGCTTCAAGGTTGCCAATCACAATACCTCGATCAACAAACAAATTTTTGGTAAGGTGCTAGGGTTGTATCCACTAAGCGACCCTCTACCCGAAATCGATCCCCTTCACTGGCTTGATTAAGATGTTTTACCAAATGGGATATACCTGCGACATCTCCCTTCTGTCAAAGTTCAGAAAATCCTTCTACCGTTGATGTGGAACGACCTCTTTACGATTCTCTTCGAAAGCCTGTCAGAACGGGTTGCAGGTTCTGATAGTACCAACAAGATGTTCTACACTCTCATGTATGGCTCTTTAATCGCATGAATTTGGATTTTGGTTCCGTTATCTGGGCTCAGTTTGTACAGAGCACCAACTCGATCACTCGACACATGAAAATTCCTTGTGCTCGTTTCTAGTCGATCGTGGTCAAAAAGGTATTAATGCATTATCGTGTTCCGATGATGGACTCATTGATCGATGAGATCCCCAAGCTATAGACCATAGTGTTCGTCATGTCAGATCCACAAATTTTTGATTTCGTTGGTTTAATACCGGAGGTGATGTTAGCAAAAGTTCCAATGGATAATGACCTCATTAGGGCGTATTGTTCCTTGTCCTCATCTGGAATCTGCCCAATCCTAGCAGAGCTACAATAGGTTATTGATGTAGGAGACAAGCCAAAAAGAGGAGGAAAGAGAAAAGAAAAAGCTTCATCCTTGGAAAGTATGAGGGTTCCAAAGAAAACCAAGAAACCTACTCCGAAACCATGATCCCCCAATCCTATTCTCCAAGAAGATTTAGAAGAGTGGACTGTATTGAAAGTACACACAACTAAAGACCATCATCATGAGGAGGAGGATACAACCTATACTTCAGAACCTCCAACTTTCGAACCTATTCTGAAGGTATCATCTCCTCCATCCTCATCTCCTCCCACCTCAGATATTTTTTACTCCATTATCCAAGAACCGTTTCTAAACCTCACCCTTCCACCTCCACCACCACCATTTAACCCTAAATCTTCCGAAACCACAACCTTGCCCATCCCCACAACAATTTCGATCTCATTTATTCCACCCTTACCCATAACTGCCCCAACTACAACCTCTGTTCAAATGTCACTACCCAAAATTTCAGTTCCACTTTCATGAACAATCTTCACCGACTCCACGATAGCCACAAACTCAACTGTATTAACTCCACCGGAAGTCCCTATATTTAAATTCGTTTCGTAGGAGATACAAACTTCAGGCATTCCTGTCAACGCATCTGATGCAGGGGCAAATGTCAATATCGGCGTGACTTCCAAACAAGGCATATAAACTGATCTTATTATCAACGAGAATGAAGACATCTTGTTCGAAGACGATCAAGAAACATTTATTGATTTTGTCTTCAGCCTTTTCACTATCAACATCAACAGTGACGAAGATGAAGCTCCAATGACAAAGGGTCAGTTAAAGCAGCTGAATGAGAAGCTTGACTTGATCCTAGAGTAGTCCAACACATTCTCTTCAACAAAGTGGGAGAATTTGCTCACCACTCACATGGCCACTGTTGAGATGCTCACCTCCTCAAATACGAAAGTAATTGAAGAATCATCCAAGGCCATCCATGATTCTGAAAAGTGGATTTCTGAAGTGACCGGAAATGTTGAAAAACTCTAAAGCAACCGGAAACGTTAAAAAACTACATCAAGAGGTGAAAGAATTCATGAATGATTTTTGAATCTCCCCCGAAAAATGGATAACTGACATGAACAAGGTGATAGAAGGATTTAGTTCATTGTTGAAAGCAGAGAAATAATCTCTATCTAAGCTCCATGACTAGGTCAAGCTTGACAATGTTGATCTCAATTCATCCATCACGACACAGATCACCAAGTTGCAATTAGATTTAGCTGTTAAATATAAGATCATGGATGAATTGGCTTAGAAAAATCAGAAAACCAAGGTTCATGATGTGAAGCTGAATAATGCTACCCATAACATTGCCCAACTTGAAAAAGAGAGATCTTTAGTTAAAGGGTGCATTTCTTAAATCAACTAATACTTGATGCATATCGTTGAAACTCGCGATTCCTCGTTTGCTGTCTTGGTTAGATAAAATCTCTCTAAAAAGCTTCAACCTGTCTTCGCCATGCTAAATCAAATACATGGTGTTTTAGGAAGCGGGGGTACTACGAAACAAGGGGCAGACGAGGAAGAAAAGATTAAGACAGAAACATATCGTAAGGATAATGAAGCTTCCAGTTCAAGAAAAAACAAAGGAAAAGGAATTATTGAAGATGAAAACGATGAAAATGCAATGATGTCTGAATCAGAAAGGATTGCTGGAGAGAAAAGAGACAAAGAGCTTGACAAACTCATTTCACTTCGGAAGAAATTCGAGGCAGAAGCAGCTGAAGCCAAAAATGCAAATCTGATTCTAGAAACTCAGAAATCTATGTTTCCTGCCTAGTCTTATGAGCATATTCTGAAAGAAGCTATAGACGATACGAATCTCTACTGGTTGGAGCCCACAATCTCTTTTAACTTAAATAATGATGTGTAATGTCAATTCGATTTTCCCATCACTCTAAGGGCATTTCTCTTCCGGTTCTTCAAAAATATTGAAAAATCAATGATCTCTGATGATGCAGTAAACCGAAAGCTCTTTTCGTTTTACTTGAAATATGGGAAACCACAGTATGAGACATGGAGCTTAAAGAGAATCACGATGTTGAAGGTTGGATTTCCAATTCAGACTGAAGATTTTCTTAATATACAGTTCAAGGGATTCCAAGGTGCTAATCATGTTTTACATGAGTTCACTTTGGCAGATTTTCCATTCATGAACCCATATGATTGGATCTCCTTGTTCTACATTGTTGCGAAAGAGGGAAAAGAAATATGAGCCTATTATTGAACACTTGAAGTTGATGATCAAGTGTTATATTCTTGAAATTGCAAACATGAATGTTGAGATTGCATTTGTTTTGAACAAAAATGCCTATTATGAAACCTGAAGAACAACCGAAGGATATCCAACATTTGAAAGCAAGAGTCATTTGGAAGAAGGATTAGACCATTATTTACAAGAGAAAGGAAGGTGACGTGGTTCAGAGTTGCATGTTCTTTTTAAGGTACAAACATCTTTACTCGTCAACGACTCTAAAAAAAAATCTTGTCCTCTGCTGAAGCTCACAAAGCGAATACTGCTACTGATGTAAAATGTGTTTTAGATATGATACATTGGTATCTGTGAGTTCGAGGCTCACTTTTAAAGATTATGCTAGAGATGTTTGATGCACAAAGACAATAGTGAAGACCTCCATCCGATATGACATAGAGGAGGAGATTGTTAAGTATCTATATTTGTTGTATCAAATGGTTGTGTTCGGAATTTTTGTGTAAATATTCCAATTCCAAAATAGTCATGTCCATCTTCAGAATCTTTGCTTAGTCTATCTATAAATAACGCACATTATTATCACAGTTGCATCAATCTATTTGTAACCGTACAACACTCATAGAATAGTTCTGAATTACAAACTGTTCTCTATGCTTTGTTATTGAGGATTGAGCTTATTTTGCTTCATATCGTTCTTATTAACTGAATTGTTTTAGCGTTTCATATTGAATATAGAATATATCGGTCTTAACATAGTGGTCTATGATCGAGTGAGGCGAGTCTTGTCACTATATTGGATATGATGCTAGATTATCTTTGTGATTGTTGCATGTGTGCTAGGTGGGGACCGTTATATATACGGGGCATGGCCTGTTATTTATACTGGGTGGGCCCGTTATGCGTGTTGGGAGGGGCCGATTATGTGAGTTGGATGGAGCCCGCTATACTCTTAGGCGGGACCTATATGGTTATATGGTTTTTCGGGAACTCACTAAGCTTTATGCTTACAGTTTCATGTTTAAATGTTTAACGTACTTCTGGTTTAAAAAGGAAGGGCCTACGTTGATCGCACAATATCCCCTCAAGTTTTATTATGCATTATGTTTTTTATAAATTTACTCTGATGTTTGAGATTACAATATACTCCAACTACCTTTTGAATAAATGAATGAATGGTGTTTCTTTTTGAAAATGGAATTTTTACTGAGTATTTTTGGGATGTTACAAATCTTGCTACTTGCCTTGCTTATACCAATAATACATAATCCAAGATCCGATAAACGGTCGAATAAAATGATTCCACTCTAAGTGTACAACCAAAAATGGAACAAGAAATAAGGTTAAACAAGACATTCTAAGGCTATAAAATCCTAATAATGTAAAACTATATAGTATACACTTATCAATTTAACGATTTCAATCCAAACTTCCAATAATGCAGAACAAGTAATCTCCTTGGCTACAAGGCTTCACCGAATCAGGAAACTCTATCATTTAACTAATGAAAGGATCCTTAGCCTATCAACTAGCGTGCATCTCTAACAGTTCACATATAAGCACTTATATAACAAGTATGGATATTTTGGGAGATCACTTTGCTAGAGCTCCGGCTGGCTGTACACGTCGGATCTTCACTTTCCTTCTTTAAAAATCCATTTTTTTCAAAAAGGCTTATAAAAACTCTCAGATCCTTAGTTTGATCCTTGAATTACATGAGTGTTCATCCAAATCCCTTAAACAAGGGCTCTGATACCAAGATGTAACATCCCATTTTTATAACCAAAATTTTCATTTTTAAATTAGATAAAACGTCATTTTCATAAAAACCCAAGTCAAGGAAACTCATAAGCATCAAGTATAGTCATCCCAAAAATCAGAGTATCATAATCATGTACAATCACAAATGTTGATGATGACTATGTATAGTCAAATCTTCGCCTTCCCACGATCATCTAAAGTACCTGAAATACACTTAAATCCACAACTGTAAGCCAAAACTTAGCGAGTTCCCCGAAATATCACATACAACACAAGCTATATAAACAGATATGGGTTATCAACAACCAAATGGGTTATCAACAACCCAACGGACTATCAGCAGTCCTATGTGCTAACAACAACCCTATGAGTTATGAAAAACCCTACAGACTATCAACATTCCTATGGATTAATACCAGTCATGGAGTTATCAGCAACTCAATAATACATATAACAACTATGAAATAGGTAATATAGTGAGAAGACTCACCTTGCAATCGAGCAAACAAACACAACAACTCTTAGACAGTGAAGACTGGTCCTATGAATCAGCTAAGCATTAGTTAGAGGTAAGCACTCGTCCGCACCCAAAAACTCCTAAGTTGACCAAAAGTCAACTGGTCAAAGCCAATGGTCAGCCACCACATCGTGGCTAATAAATGATTATGTCGTGGAAGCTACGTGACAACACAATCATATTGAAACTTGCCACCATGTTGTGGAAAGTAACTCGCCACGTTGTGGGAACTAGTCGTAACAACTTAATGGATCAAGTTCTTAACCTTTAAGCCCCATAGCTCTAAAAGTCATATCTAAACTTTCTTAAAGTCATGATGGACAAAGTTTCCAACTTTATCCATTAAAACATCCCAATAAGCCAAGATTTCCGAACCTAAGTTCTTAATGGTTGCACTAAAAGCATGGAAACCAAACTAAGTTATGCAAGTCATCTTTCTAACCACCGCCATGGTCTAGAAGCCAAATAATGTACTCAAAATAATATGTTTTGGACCAAAAAAAACTCATAAGGTGACCTAAAACAAGATCTAGTGAAGTAATTGTTGGTTTTTGGTATAATACAACATCCTATGGTGCACATACAACCAAGAATACCTTGGATCTATGTTTTCAATAATTATATATGCAAACGGTTTCCAAGGTATTAAACTTACAACTAGCATGCATTTGATATAGACCATATAAGATACTAGTTAGGATAACATACCTTTTGATGGAGCTTGCAGTCTTGATGTATTTGTCCTTAAAGAGCTTAGCCCTAATAGTGTGGAAGCCTCAAGTAGAATCACAACACACCATGGACAAAGGATGAACTTGAGAGAGAATTCCATGCACCCAAAAACACCATGAACTCCAAGAATACACTTGTGGCGATTTTGGGCAATGAAGCCTCAAGCCTCAAGTATAACCCAAATCCATACCCATGGGTTTTATGATCCATGGTTCATGTGACCCAACTCTTTATGTATCCATACATAAACTTGGTCCAATATGGATCATAAGCCCAACACATATAAATATAACTAATTAACATAATTCGTCCCCATAGATTTAATTAGCCTCTTTTGATCATTAAATTAATTCCAAATTAACTCTTGATCAATACTAATTAAATCATATGATTTCATATTAATATATTACAACTTATAACATATTAATAAATCATATATAAGCTCTTATCTCAAAAGTGTATCCTAACAAATTATCCTGATGATATGCAACCCAAATGGACCATGCTACTCTCGGGTCAAGTACATACCAATAATAGTTATGGGCTTAGACATCTAATCCAATAGTCTCCCACTTGGATAAGTCTAAAACTATTATTTCAAGTACGACTTTATAACCCGACTAGCAATCGTAGCTCTTAAAGCTGCTGTGGAACTCTGAACAAATCAATGATGCGTCCATTAGATAAGTGATCATATATTCCTCCATTCTAGATATCATATGGACTGAGACATAGATTATAATCATTCTCTCTGTCCATTTGTTGTTTCTCGATTTTCGATTTATGATAACTGACTAATTGAACAAATCAAATCAGTCCAGGCTTGGCTAATCACTTAGGGGTGTCATCACTAAATCATCGAGGGGCCCACATATATCTCTTTTATCCTTATGAGGTAAAAGGAATGGATAAACTTCGACTCGTATGCTTGTAATAACTACTTGTTGAATCATACACAAAGGTACGTTTTATGACATCAAAATACTAATGCGTTTTCGTACAATCAATGTACAACCAACTCATAGTTAACAACTCATATCTCCAGGTTTGAAGAATATAAGATATTATAGAATCATGATTCGCTCGTGATAAAATCCATGAAGTGATTCAAATCAGCATGGGTTTAATCCAATACTCGAATCTTAGTCTAGGAGCACTCATGAACACTGCAGCTAAGTCTAGACACCTAGACAAACTAAAGACCCATTCATGACAGTATTGCCTCAATACCTACTTCCAAAGTATGATTGAATGTGGATGGTTTGAATAACCTAGTTATTCGGGAAGTCAAAACATGCAAAGTGAAACACAAGAATAATACTAATCCTTGTAACACCGTAAATTTTCAAACAAAATTTTTGATTTTAAAATTACCAACATCACATATAATAATTCTCAAAATCTCAAGTGTCGATGTCATAACATATTTCAAAATAGTTTTCAAAAGTAATTATCAAAATCCAGGATCCTCATTCGTGACTCTTTTCTCTTATGTGTACAATCGAGCCCCCGCCTTCCCGCGATCCTGATGAGAACCTGAAACACATAACACATAAAACGG